CCCACCCCCTCCCCTCTAGAACCCTCAGTTTGTTTCTCAGAGTCCATAGTCTCTCATGGTTCGTCTCCCCCTCCGATTTCCCCCCCTTCATTCTTTCCCTCCTGCTATCTTCTCCTTTTTTTTTTTAACATATAATGTATTATTTATCTCACAAACAATGTTAAGCAAAAGAAGCCAGACATGAAAAAGTACATAGGCTATGATTCCATTTGTACAAAGTATCAAAACTGGCAAAACTAATCTACCTGTAAGGAGCAGTGACCAGAGGGGAGCAAAAGGGGCTACATGCGTGCTGGTCACCCTCTGTTTCTTGAGCTGCATGCTGATTACACTGGTTATCAGTTTATCAAAATTCATCAAGTTGTACACTTATGTTAGTGTCCTTTTCTATAGGTATATTATCTTCCATAAAAAGATTTTTCAAATAAGTAATTCATGCTCAAAACGAGGAGCCTTTAGGCACCCTGGAACATTGTCACTATGAATATCCTAGCATTGCCAATTATCACCACCCCGCCCCCACCATTACACCACCTCCTTAGAGACCCCAAGCCACTCTCAGCCTTTGGAAATAGCCACCATTCTTATCGCAAGGCTTCATCCCTTCCAGCCCCAGCTGATTGGACTTCTTCTTATCTGGAAACTTGGGAGCAGAAGTCAGGTGATAAGAGTGCTTCATCTAATAAATTGTATGGATTTGGAGGAAAGAATTTCTGGATATAGGCAAGTGATAGGCCAAGAACGCTGGTCTGCAGAAAATAGAGCCAACATACAGAGGGAAGCTAGCAAGCCTGTGGGAGATGGAGGGAGAAGCCTCAGAGGCTGCTCACTCTCCAGTTCTGGTCACATATATCCCAGCTGTCACTGGGTATCCGTGGGATTGCTCAAGTAAATAGCTTTACTATTAAGAAAAGAAAAGAAAGAAAAGAAAACCTTACTTATTTAAGCTAGTGTGAATACATTTCTGTTTGTGGAATGTATTATCTCATTTAGTTCTTCTAACAACGCTGCATAGTAAGTACCGTTACGATTCCCATTTCACAACTGAGAAAACTGAAGCCCAGAAAGGTTATGTAACTCTTCCAAATCACACAGTTGGTCACTGGTGGTGCCAGGATTTGGACCCAAGTAGTCTGACTCTGGAGCCTGAAATCTAACTATACTACACTGCAGTGCAAGAGAAATGCTGAAAATGACAATGTGAATTGTATGTTACATTAATGGATTTAACGGAAGCCTCTGATTCTGTTAAATGAGTTCAAACGTAGAAATGGTACAAAGATTGAAAGACTGGCTGCCTAAGAAGTTGGTATTTATCTCTTTCACAAGGGAATTATACTTTGAGTCGTAGATGTTAGAGAGAAAATGCATGTAGTGTGACAGATTATACTAATGAGACTGTGATGTTATACCAGGAAATTTATTTTATAGATTTCAGTAGAGAACTCCCTTAGAAGATCCCCACTGATTACCTATTTTTCCCAAAATGTTAATCTCCAGGAGAAGGGAGGTTTACTCTTATGGAAAGAGAAATCGATAAAAGTTAACTTCAAGTCTTAGAGGGAGAGAGACGCCGGTGGTCACTTTCCATGATGATGACTGCCAGACCCACAATCCACTCAGCAAGGCTTCCAGATCAATCACCAGCAAGCCACTGGTGACCCCCAGCAACCTTCAAAAGGTATGATTCAGGAATTATCAGTGAGTTTAAGTCAGATAAGAACTTGTTCTATCTGTAGTGCTTTGATTTTAAAGGAGAGTGCTGACAGCCACTCTTCAAGATCTTTTCTATATATAAATGATTGAGCAATTTTGTGGTTTATAATTAGAACAATGCATGACAATTTCTAGATTGGAGTTCCAAGGTTACTCTTTTCTTTGGTCCATCAATGCTAAAAAGACGAAAGGTCATCTTCTGAGGCTCCATGGATAGCACTCACCAGCCTGCTAAGTGGCTCACTCTGAAAGTTCTGGCTTTGATGTTATCCTTTAAAAGAGGCTGTCTTTTATCTGGCAAAACCTGGAATAGTTTGGATGGTTTGCAAATAAATTGTACTAAGAACACTCAGTTAACATAACCTCTAAGACAGAGCACACATTATTGTCAAAAAAAAGGATTTGTTGGGGCGCCTGGGTGGCTCAGTCAGTTAAGCGCCTGCCTTTGGTTCAGGTCATGATCCCGGGGTCCTGGCTCCCTGCTTCCCTGCTCCACAGGGAGCCTGATTTTCCCTCTCCCCCCTGTTTATGCTCTCTCTCTCTTTCAAATAAATAAATCTTTTTTTAAAAAAAGGATTTAACTCCTTGCCTCATGTCATAGTACTCACTACCTTGTATGTGGCTGTGAAAAAGAAATTTTGTACTAGTTTCACATTCATTAGGAAGCTTGGCCTGGCTCAAACCTGTTATCTACATAAGACACGTAATCTGTAATGACCAGTTAACATTCTCAAAATTAGCTATCATCCCTAAAATATAATGTATCTGTCTCTAAGGTCCCTTTTTCCTCAAGTGCTGTCTGTTTTGTGACTTCTTATTCTCTCCCCACCATGTCAGCATAGCTTTGCAGGGGCAGTCATGTTTAATGGTCGGTAGATAACAAAATGTCATCAAAATGTCCTAAGCTTGCTCCTGGAAGTTCCAAATAATGGTACATATGTTCCCCCATGGCAAAAATACAGGCACCTAACATTTACCCTAACTTATGCCAGTGAGTAGCAAAAATGTGCTCAGTTAGACACAACATGCCACAACATGGCATGTCTGAGTGTCTGCAGAATTTAGCATGAGAGTTGTAACCAGAAAAAAAAGAAGAAAAATTAGGGAGAGCATTGAGAGCTGAGTTCCAATGTCTCACTTTATGCAGCTCTATGACTTCAGGATTGTCCTTATACCAAAAAAGCTACCCATAGATTCAAAAAATCAAATGCTCGCTACTTTCACTTAAAAATACCTCAAGTAAACTAAAGCACTCCAATTGAAAATTGGCAAAATGTCATAGAAGTACTTACAGAACATCAATTTCTTAGTTAACCAATTTGGTTATAAAATCAAAACTGAAAGCATAATTTATAAAAGTAATAATGCTAGGGCGCCTGGGTGGCTCAGTCGGTTGAGCGACTGCCTTCGGCTCAGGTCATGATCCTGGAGTCCTGGGATCGAGTCCCGCATTGGGCTCCCTGCTCGGCGGGGAGTCTGCTTCTCCCTCTGACCCTTTCATGCTCTATCTCATTCTCTCTCTCAAATAAATAAATAAAATCTTTAAAAAAAAAGTAATAATGCTAAACAAACTTTAAAACTTTAAAAATATATATATAACTTGGTAATAACATGGAGTTCATGTATATTTAAAAAAAAAAAAAACAACCACTAAAAACAGTAGTTTCTACCAGATTATCAAGAGAAAAATGTGTAGGTTTTAGGGGCGCCTGGGTGGCTCAGATGTTAAGTGTCTGCCTCTGGCTCAGGTCATGATCCCAGGGTTCTGGGATCGAGCCCCGCGTTGGGCTCCCTGCTCCGCAGGAAGCCTGCTTCTCCCTCTCCCACTCCCCCCCTCTCTCAAATAAATAAATAAAATCTTTAAAAAAAAAAAAAAGAAGAAAAATGTGTAGTTTTTAAACCAACTCATGAATGCTTACAGTAAGATTTTATTGAAGAGAAAGTTTTTCACTATTTTCCTAAATATTGCTCAAGTTTAATTCTCAACCTAAATGAGAAGAGCATGATTCTAGTGGGATCCAGTCAATGCCAGAACAAGCTAATCATTGATCCCTTCCTCAGTCCATGCCTTCAGCCTTGCAAACACTATGCCATAGGTCAAAAATGAAACCAAATGAAAATGGTTTATTTCTACAAATCCATCAATTCTGAGGGCCACAACTAACAATCCAAAGTTCACCTCTAATGGATAGTGTCAGATATTTCATCTTTTTTATATATATTTTATTTTTAAGTAATCTCTACACCCAACAGGGGCTTGAACCCACAACCCTGAGATCAAGAGTGCTCTGCTGACTGAGCCAGTCAGTGCCCCCACATAGTTCATCTTCTGTAATAAGGGACACAAATAATAACATTGTGTGGGTTATAAAGAAATGCATACCTATAAAATGAAGAGGTGATTATTTAGAAAAAGGATGAATGAATGTAAAATATACTAAATATGAAAATATTTTAAAAGTTCAAACATCACCATGCATTTGTATTACTTTTAGGTACATTTAAATATGCTGCAATAGTGGTCAATTTGTTTATATTTCATCTTTAATTATCTTAAATAATAATCATCTAAATATTGGTAGGAACACAAATTAACAGCAAAAAAACACAAAAACTGATAAATATTTGCCAGTTCTGTTGCTCCCTTCCAACTCACAAGCATAATTTTATAAAATTGCTATCTTTATGTATCAACCATTTCAACTTCTTCTTTTTGCACTTACTTTGAATGGATTGTTGCGTGTTTCTACATGATTCTCATACTCATCACTAAAGGTACTAGAACATTCCATGTCTGTTCTCAGTAGTTCCTGAATGACAGTCTGTGGACCAAGATAGGATGAAATTTTTGTCAGTCCACAGTTAAATGAGAAAAGCAAAGGCAAGTTATTGAGCTTTTAATAAAGCTAAATTTATTCAATTTAAAGATTGTCCTTTATTTGGAGATTATGTCCTTTCCCCTTTCTTATGTCAAAATTCCTTTTTATAAAATAGAAGTGATGGTAAATGGCAGCTTTTTATTTATTTATTTATTTTAAGATTTTATTTATTTGAGAGAGAGAATGAGAGAGAGAGAGCACATGAGAGGGGGGGAGGGTCAGAGGGAGAAGCAGACTCCCTGTTGACAGGGAGCTCGATGTGGGACTCAATCCTGGGACTCCAGGATCATGACCTGAGCTGAAGGCAGTCGCTTAACCAACTGAGCCACCCAGGCGCCCAAATGGCAGCTTTTTAAAAATCTTCCCTACATGACAAAATCCTGAGACATATTTTAGTGCCCCCCCACCACCAATTATTTGTTATTTTACCCAGTCCTAGTATTATTAAATCCAGAAGTCAACTAACTGTCAAACTACACCCCCTTCATATGGGATGTAGTTCGACACATTTTAAGGTATGAGCTCACACAGAGACACACAAAATGTTTTTGCAAAGACTCCTGTGGTAACCAGCCTCCAAAATGTCCCCAGTGATCTCTGCCCCTAGTATTCACACCCTCATGTAGTCCCCTTCCATACTGTACCACAGATGATCTATGACCAACCAAACACTGCGGAAGTGATGGTATGTCACTCCTAAGATTAAGTTACAGAAGGCATTTCAGCTTTCACTGTGGTGGTTTTCTTTCTTCGATCACTCGCTCTGAAAGCAGCTAGAGGTCGTGTCATGAGCAACACTGTAGAGAAGCCCATGTGGTGAGGAACTGAAGCTTCCTGCCGGCAACCATGTGAATGGGATTGGAAGCAGATCCTCCAGCCCCAGTCTGGCTTTCAGATGACACAGCCCATGAACGATCCTGAGCCAGAACCACCCAGCTAAGTTGCTCCCAAATGACTGACCTGCAAAAACTGAGAGATAATTAGTAGTTGTGTTTTAAATTACTACATTTGAGGTCATTTGTTATGGGACAACAAATAACTATGCGACTCCTTTATCCTTTTTCAGCTGCAAGATGAATAGCTATCTAGCCCCAGGGTGGTGCCGAAACTGCTGAGCGTGTGTGTATTCATGTCTGTGTTGGGGGAGAGAAAGGATTAGCAAGGACTGTGATCTCCAGTATCCTGACTTTAGTTTACTTATGCTGACTTTTTCCTTCTCCATTGCTTTTTCTACTTTTCTCATATTGACCAGAGCACTCAGTAAACTGAATCATCCATCTCCAGCAAGAGAATCAATTCTACACTTTTGTAGACTTAGTTTAAGGAATCATTCTATGTAAATATGGTATTTTATCATAGTTTAGAAACCCAGTAAATTTCTATTGACAGAAACCCTCACCTTAACTGTCAGACCTCTCCTATACCCATCCCTACCTCAACAGAAGAGCATATCTCATATTCGCTGAGAAAATAGAAGCAACAGACATAATCCCTTTTAAGTTCTCTCCTCCCACGTTTAAACCATCTTTAAGTACTGAGGTGAAAAGATTATTGTTTTAGCAGCTGATGCCACGGTTCCTCTCAGGGATAGAAAATGCCTTACTGAAGAAACTACCTTGATATGACACTTGGAGTATGGAAGAAGAAAGCTTGGCTTGTAATAAAATTGTGAAACAAAGAGATCAATAAACAGATCTGCATTTTAAAAAAGAAGAAGAATATGAAGACTGGAACAGGGCAAAGAGGAGAGGAAATGGGAGGAGTGTAAGGAGAGATGGCGTGGGAGGTTGAAGCTTAGGGAGAGAGTTCCAGCGATGGGCGAGCTGAAAACATGTTTAAAATAGAAATTTCTATTATTGGACTTTACGTTGTTTTGTGTTGCTAAGGATATAAAATCCCTGAAGACTTCAGTAATATCTGATACATGCACAAATGCCTTATGTGAGTGATTTGGGGGAAATATAGGAAAAAAGACGCAGAGGGGACTGGTCTGAGTTCTACAGCTGGTTCAACATGAAACCAAGGAATAGGAACATGGAAACTGAATTACAAGTGAGATGAAGAAGTGGATGAAGAGTGGAAGCAGAAACTCAAAAGCCAAAGAAACCATACAATGGACTTCCAGGAATTAACAAAAATCTTGGAGTAGACATTGAACTTTCGAATGAAATCCCAATGTGGAATGGGAACTTTTTTAAGTAAGCCAATTTTACTTAAATCTAAAAAAAAAAAAAAAAATCTACCTTAGCTGACATCTGGGTCCATATTCATGGGTTCTTCTCTCATCTGTTCTGGTCTTTTACAAAAAAGAGATGTCCAAAACTGGGCACTCCTTCCATCCTGTGACCTTGCTCCATCAATTATTCTCTTTAATACATATAGTCAATACTCTCCTCACTACCGGGATTTCCCCCACTGTTTATACCCAGGCTCAAGCC